GCGGTTTAGAGAGCCAAAATGATCGATTTGGGTAATGCAACTTAACAATTAGCCGACTTAGATTTGATTGCTTATGAAAATATGTGTGTACCTATCTTGTTTTAAAAAAGACATGGATACTAGCCTATGTGTGACTACTGTTCTTTATTTCAAGATAAGAGAATCATTCATGCAAGTAATATAACTTTAATCGAGAAAAAAAAATATATTTTTTTTAATTTTAATTTTTTTATTTTTAAGACAGTGAATACAGTCCTGAATACGTTCAGTGAAGTACTGTAAGCACCTTGGCGACCAACACTCTGACTGAGTGCGAAAATCCATTGACGAGTTTTAAAAGCATTACCGTATATTCCGGTGTATAAGCTGCACCTGTGTATAAGCCGCCCCCCCCCCCAAATTAGGACGCGAAATATCACAATTTTTTTGTGTCACCTGTGTATAAGCCGCACCTACTTTTAAGCTCCAAACCGTTCCTAGTTTTTAATTATTTTGAAACACTGACCTTAATGTTCAAATAAAGAAATTTCATCTTTTTCGGCCAATTACTAAACAAAAAACATTTGGAAATGCGTGTAAACTTCTGGCTACCACAATGAAACAACATATTTTTCTGCTAGTCAGCTCTAGGGAAATCCTCATTTCTTGCTAGACGGTCGTGCTACATCAAACTTTTAACATCAATTTAGTTTAAGTTAAATAAAATCTAATAAAATAATACTTATTGAGTATATATATTTAGCTATTTTAAGCAATCATTCTATTATTATGGTGACTAATAACAGTCAGTATTAGGCTAAAAATATTGGTAATTCTAGGCCTAATTCATCAATACTCACAGCCCACTGTGCGAAGCATGCACCATCATGCACCACGTTTATAAACAAAAAACAGAACTGGAGAAATGATACAAAGTTCACACATGCACAGATGACATATGCCTTTCTTCAATTAATTTCCAGTAAAATAATTATTACAACTTCAAGAAAACTCGTGTTTTTATAGCATAAATTAATTATGGCCTCTTTTTCTCGCTTTCATCTTTAATCACATTTTTTTTTTTTTTTTTACACATCCGAATTGTTTAGCTGCCTGTATTTTAAAATTTTATTTATTTGAATGTTTATACTGATTTTACTGGCCTAAGAGGAAATTGTTGTTTTCTAGACGCCCGAAAATAACCTCTGAAAAAACAAATTCCTATTTTAAAATGGACAATAAAGTGTTCTTGAATCTGGAATCTTTTTATAGGTATTTGACATCCGTCAACTTAAATATAATAGACCTATAGTCATTGTTATTCATATTGCATTATATAATGTTGTTCATGTTTCTTGCATTTGTTTTTATTCATTGACAAATAAGCATTTCATTTTATATAATTATGGAAATGATAAGGAATTTTGAACAATTTATTATCATTTTCACAATACACTGTCTTTCATATTATTTAAAAAACTAATTGTGATTTGGTTATTATTTTTTCTAGATATAGCATTCTTAACCTGTGTGATGACTGTACACTTAATTTTCGCCACCGGGAAAATGCAGCGGCAGATTCAAGGAAGGTCCCAGCTGCCCCCTCTAAATTTTTAAAAGTAAAAAATATAAGAAAAAAAAGAAAATTGTAAACAAATTGAAGTCTTGAGAGTGCTATTTCCAGTAATCTAGAGGTGCCATAATCATAACATTTCATAATCATAACATTTTTCTCTCAGTCCCAATCATGGTGGGCTCAAGTTTGTGGTCTTTAAAAATGTCTTCCTGGACGCAATTTTTTTAAACGTACGGTAGTTTGGTAAAATTTCATGAATTATTCATAATCATCCTTATAGAACATATTTATACTAGAATTAATCTAGCATTCTAGTCATCTAAAGGTAAAACTATAATCTAAAACAAAACTTGAATGCTATAAAAGAGCATTTTAGCTTCCTTGCACCTACCTTATTTAACAGCCTTTCTTTTATACAAAACTATAAATTGTATATTAAAGATGGAGAATTATAGAGTTTATTTTCAAATTATATAATCAATAAATTGTACGTAATTAATGAATTGTATACAAATTTTGATAAATTTATTCTTTCAAGATGTGTATAAGAGACAGGTTCTATGGCGGTCTTGTTTCCTGGTTTTATTGAAAGCTGATTTTCCTATAAAATACAAGTTATAGTACACTTTATTCTGGAAGAGATATTTTAGCTTTTAGCCTGTGTACAACATGTGTCATGGTGTACCAACTTAGATAAAACAAGGGGTGATTTTCTCTTCCCTCCAGGGTAACAATAACGACTTATATACACCAAAGCGAAGATATTTTTACAGTCCCTGAAACTTACTTAAGCCGCTCCACTAAGCTAGGCTGTTTTCTTATTGCTGGTAACTTAAATGGTAGGACCGGGCCTTTAGTTGGAATCAACAAATGATTTAAATAGATTCGCCGATACCTCTTTTGGTTGCGTTAATGATGAACCGTTATTAAGATGAAACATCCTAAACAGCCTGATGTGCATAGAAAAGCAATCCTTGGATTATGCAAAAAGGCAGGTAATAAAATAATCAGTGGTAGAAGACTAGTGACCTCTGTGGGTACACAAATGTTTTAAATCCAGTTGCACACCAAGCACAATTAATTATATGCTCTATTAACTTGTTTAAACACATTTCTTTAAAGTATAGAAAGCCCTCAAAAGATTCTTTAAATTTAACGGAACTTTATTTCTTTTGTATCTGCTAACAGAGGTCATAATCTCTGCAAAATTTAAATCCACCCTATTATATTAGAAATGAAAAATGTTAGCTCCAGACCTAATTAGTGAGTTGCGTGCTAACAAATTTGACCTACTCAGTGATACCTTGCGCGTTTTATTGACCGTATCTCAGTAAGTATAGTATTGAGTTGGTTTTAGTGTCATTTTAAATAGCTCTCTTACTTCAGTAATAAATGCTAACTCCTCAAATCAACCATAAAAATTTATAGATTATGAAGTTTAAAGTTAAATATAAAATATATGATTATATATTTTCTCTTCTAAAGCCCCTGTCACACTGTAGCGAATAGAGTGAACGTATGCCGATGTTTATGGAAATTTTGGTTTACGTTCGCGTAGGTTGAGTACGTTTTATCCGTTAGCTGTTTGTAAGGGTTTGCAGAGGTACGGTGGGTTCAATTTTAAATTTTGGACGTGTTACAATGTTGTGCTTAATACACTATGTATACGGGGAGCACTCGCTGTTTGAACGTTTTGGCATGTTGGGTTGACGTTTTCTCTCCGTTCGTTGTTCGTCCAAATACGTCAAACCCATCTGAAACTTTGCTATAGTGAATGTATAACGTATGCATAGTGTTTGTCTAACAAATCGGTAACGAATGACCACAAATACATAAAGTATACCGAACTATATCAAATTTCACAAGGCGTCCATATAATGTGCTTGACGAACGTTTGTTATGTAAGCTCAACATTCGTTGGGCAGACGCTAATAATGCGCTGTCATTCATTAATATGGACGCTAGTTGTACAATCAGCATTCATTCCTTATTTTTTGGGTGTTCGTCGTATGCGTAAGGATGTTCATTTATTGCCAATAATTTGAGTGTTATTGAGCATGTTATTTTGAGTAAAGAAATCAGTATGCTAGAAATATACGTTAGCTCTATTCGCTACTATGTGACAGGGCCATTACATCATAATGCATCTAGAGCGCCCATCGCCAAACTTATAAGGAAGCTTACACATCATAATATTTCTAATATTATTTAAGAAGGTTCCCTATAAATTTGGTGATGGCTGCTCTAACCTGAGCAATTTTATACTGCATGGCATGCCCTTTCGAAATTCCACATTTTGTATATTAACACAGTACTATACCTGTATAGTAAATCACAACAGAAAATCTTTGAATCTTTGTATTGTTTTTATTTGCATGTTGGTGAAATTTTAAATAAAGTATACCATCAGAATGAATGAATAATTCTGATTATAATTTGCATTGAAACAACAATACGCAGGCAGTCCATGGTGCTATTTTCTTTTATGCTAAGATTAAAAATCTCTTTTGTTGAATAATTATGTACAATTCCACTGAGTGTTATGA